GGTCAGTAGTGAGGGTCAGTAGTGAGGGTCAGTAGTGAGGGTCAGTAGTGGGTGGGTTAAAAATGTTGATATTTCTTGAATTGCTGCTAGTAGAAGAACCTCATCAGGCTCACATGCAGTTTCAGTGCAGAGGCTGTTGTGGACGGCCTTCCACCCACACAGACAGACAAACACAAAGGCATGAGAACAAAGAGCACTTTGAGTGCAGCATCCAGAGAAGCAGCCAGGCACACACCGAGTGTCCATGGAGGTCTTTGTGTCCACGATGGGAGGACGCACACTCTGACACAAAGACGCTCCCTGTCCCTCTGCCACTATTGGAAAGCAGGTTATTCAGTGATTCAAACGCAGCGAGGACTGAAGAGGAAGATGGAGGAAAGCTGCTCTGCTGCTCCGACTACAACTGATGTGCTGTTTGATTGATGAAGAGACGCCGGGGGGGGGGCGTCCCAGCGTGATCTATCGTTTCACCTAAAGCACGTCTGGCCTTATTCCAGGTAAAGAACAGAAGGGGAAGTTACCTTTGGCTGGTTGCACAGGTACCTGCAGAGTTCACCAATGTACTGGAATATAGTGACTTCATATTTCCTGCAGTCAGTCCAGAACTGGGAGGCTGAGAACTTTTTCTTCAGGACGCAGGTGGCTCCTGTGGAGACAAGCAGACGGTGGCATCATGTAGCTACAGTAGCAGCCCAGAGCTTTCCCTCACTGCTCCTCTATAGACCACTGCTCCTCTATAGACCACTGCTCCTCTATAGACCACTGCTCCTCTATAGACCACTGCTCCTCTATAGACCACTGCTCCTCTATAGACCACCCTACATGTCTGCACAGCATAAACACCACAATGGAAAACTCATTCCATCAGAAAAATGCATTAAAGACCAAAGTCCAACCAAACATCAGTGGATTCTGCATCACTGGACAAACATGTTTTCCTGCTCTGGAGCGACCTCGGCTGTTCCAGCTTTCACCATCAACCTTTACTTCTCATTTCAATCACACCAACTATGGAATAAAAGAGAGAAACAAACAAACTGACCCTGAAGAGGAGCAGGTGTGATCCACGCTGTGCACCAGGACTGGTGAACCTCAGGTTAACCCTCAGGTCATCAAACGTTACAATCAATCATTCAGTTCTGCTGCTTTATCTGATCACCTGTTAGCTGTTAACATTCGCCTCTTTCTAATCATAAAGTCTGGTTCTGGAACATAAACGCACCATTTTCACTCTTTCATTCTGCTGTTCCTGTTTATCCTTCGCTCAGTTTTACCGACCTTTTTATACTGGTTACGATACTAAAGTATGTTAACCATGTTTGATCCACTGTGTGGCGCAGGGACAGGGGACGCTCATCAGGGGACGCTCATCAGGGGACGCTCATCAGGGTGTTCCATCAATGCATCCTGATGCTGAATCACTGAGCGAGCAGCGTTCCCTTTACGGCGCCAGGACGGTGGCCCATGAGCTGGAGAATCCACCTCCATCCACTCCCTCCAAAGTGCTTCTGCTTTCATCAGTTTGTTGACTGAACCCTGAAGTAGTAACTAGAAGCTAACAGGATTTAGCACGTCCTCACTGACCCGTTGGTTTATCTGGTCAATCCTTTTGGATCAATCAAACCTGGATCTGATGCGTCTGTTTGCTCTAAACATCCTGAGTGATTCTCCAACATGCAGGCAGATTCCGACAGGGACACACAGAGAGCGTCCAGATGGCCTCAGAGCTGCATCAGGTCTGCGCGTGGCGACCAGGCTGCAGACGATGCGTTAAAAAAAGGACAGATGAAGGATTTTAATAGGATAAAAACTACAACGGTGGTGAAACGGTTTCTATCTGGATGAGGAGGAACGCCATGTCCGTCCATCATTGCCTCTCATTAGCGTCCTAGCTGTCCCATATCTGGATCTCTGACCTCTGGTGACCCCTCAGTTGGACCCGATTAGCCAACATGTTCCAGGTGTAGCACGTTTATTAGAGTTTAACGACTGCAGCAGTCAGGACACTGGCCTCGGCTCTGTTTGTCTGGACAGTTTGTACAGCAGGTTCAATGGTGGACGCACGGTGAACCTGTGACGCTCACCAGTATCTGGAACCGCTGTGCTTAAGTATCCACTGATACCCTTCCATAGAAAGGAGGTGAGGGGTCGATGAACCCAGACTGAATGGAACCGACTGGAATGGACCTCCATGGCATCGGCTGCTTGTTTTTCTATAAACTATGATAACGGCGTCATGGCGGTTAGACAGTGGAACGAGGAGGCGGCTGACTCACGGCTTCTGGGTCCCACTCAGGGATCTATGACCTTCCAGGAGAAAACAGGAATAAAACTCAGATCTGATCCACAGATCCCCAAACTGCAGCAAAATGGCCGATAACGGGAGGCCGGAGCTGGATGACCTCAGGCTGAGGAACAGTCAGAGTCTTTCCCGCCATCTTGGACTGTGGACATCGGGCCGCAGGCTGATAAACTTCATTATCACTAAATTAGCAGCTTTGGCCAAAAACAGTGAAATATGAACCTTTTCTCTGATTAGGAAGCATCACTGTCCATCCTCAGCTCTCTTCATGTAAACAGCCAGCTGTTGTTTCTGACCTCCTTCCCTCTGGTTTAGCTGGACTAGCTTAGCGGTTTTCTGGAACATGGTGATCATGTTGTTTGGTTGCTTCTGTATGGTTGTGAAGGTTAGCGAGTGTCAACGAAGGTTAGCGAGGGTCAGCGGCTGCTCCTGATGGGCGCTAGGGGATGCTGTAGCTATCCCAGGAAATGTAGTCTTACTTTCTGAGGAAACCATCTGGTATCGTATGGCGACAGCGGCGTTGGATGTTGGAGTTTGCCCTGAAATCAAAGGATTGACGGTTCAAGCCCCGACTCTGACTTTCAGTGTCCTTGGGCAAGACCCTTCACCTGCAT